AGAGGTGGCTCGTGTTGACTGAGCAGAAGCAACAGGCCGGGGTAACCACTGAGGTGGCTTGTACTGACTGGACATGAGGCGCTGGGCGGGAAAGCCCTGAGGTGGCTCACGCTGACTGGGCAGGAGGCACTGGGTGGGAAAGCCCTCAGGCGCCCTGCATTGGCTGGGTAGGAGGCACTGGGCAGGAGAAGCCTGGAGGCAGTTCACACAGACTGGGCAGAGGTGCTGAACAGGAAAGCCCACAGGCGGCTCATGCTGACTGGGCAGGAGGCGCTGGGCAGGAAAAGCACTGAGGTGGCTCACGCTGACTGGACATGAGGCGCTGGATGGGAAAGAAGACAGGAGCCCTGCACTGACTGGGCAGGAGGCGCTGGGAGGGAAAGCCCTGAGGTGACTCACGCTGACTGGGCAGGAGGCGCTGGGAGGGAGAAGCCTGGAGGCAGCTCATGCTGACTGAGCAGATGCTGGGCAGGAAAGCCAGAGGTGGCTCGTGCTGACTGGACATGAGGCGCTGGGAGGGAAAGCCCTGAGGTGGCTCATGCTGACTGGACATGAGGCGCTGGGTGGGAAAGCTGACAGGAGCCCTGCACTGACTGGGCAGGAGGCGCTGGGAGGGAAACCCCTGAGGTGGCTCACGCTGACTGGACATGAGGCGCTGGATGGGAAAGAAGACAGGAGCCCTGCACTGACTGGACATGAGGCGCTGGATGGGAAAGAAGACAGGAGCTCTGCACTGACTGGACTGACTGGGCAGGAGGCGCTGGGCGGGAAAACAATTGAGAGGCTCACGCTGACTGGGCAGGAGGCGCTGGGCGGGAAAACCACTGAGAGGCTTATGCTGACTGGGCAGCAGGCACTGGGTGGGAGAAGCCTGGAGGCAGCTCATGCTGACTGGGCAGGAGATGCTGGGCAGGAAAGCCAGAGGTGGCTCGTGCTGACTGGGCAGAAGCAACAGGCCGGGGTAACCACTGAGGTGGCTTGTACTGACTGGGCAGTAGGTGCTGGGAAAGGAAAGCTCAGATGTGGGTCATGCTGACTGAGCAGAGGTGCTGGGTGGGAAAGCTGTCAGGAACCCTGCGCTGACTGGCCAAGAGGTGCTGGGTTGGAAAGCCCTGAGGCGCCTCACGCTGACTGGGCAGGAGTCACTGGGCGGGAGATGCCTGTAGGCGCAGAAAAGCCCCTGCAGCGCTTTGCGCTGACTGGACAGGAGGCACTGGACAAGGAAACCCCTCAGGCAGTCTGCCCTGGCTATGCCAAAGGCGCTGGGCAGGAAAGTCCAGCGGCAGCTCACTGCTGACAGGCAGAGGTGCAGAGCGGGAAAGCCCAGAGGTGGCTCATGCTGACTGGGCAGGAGGTGCTGGACGGGAGAAGCCTGGAAGCATCTCGTGCTGACTGGGCAGGAGGCTCTGGATGGGAAAACCACTGAATCAGCTCAGGCTGACTAGGCTGTAGGCACTGAGGGAAAAACTCGAAGGTGGTTCACGCTGACAAGGCAGGAGGCGCTGGGCGGGAAAACACCAGACCTGGCTTGCACTAGATGTGCAGTAGGGGCTAGGCAGGAAACCCCAGCAGTAGCTCATGCTGACAAGGCAGGAGACGTTGGGCGGGAAAGCCAGAGGCAGTTCACGCTGACTGTACAGAAGCAACGGGGAGGGAAAACCACTGAGGCAGCTCGGGCTGACAAGGTAGGAGGCGCTGGGCGGGAAAGCCTAGAGGTGGCTCGTGCTGACTGGGCAGCAACAACTGGGCGGGAAAACCTCTGAGGCAGCTCATGCTGACTGGGCTTTAGGTGCTGTGGGGAAAACCCGAAGGTGGGTCGAGCTGACTGGGCAGAAGGGGCTGGGTGGGAGAAGCCCATGGGTGCTTTGCACAGACGGGGCAGAAGGTACTGGGCAGAAAAGCCCACAGGGAATTCATGCTGATTAGGCAGCCGGTGCTGGGCGGGAAAGCCCAGAGGAAAGCTCGCACTGACTGGGTAGGAGGCACTGGGTGGGGAAAACCACTGAGAGCTCAGGCTGACTGGACTGTAGGCACTGGGGGCAGAGTCTGAAAGTAGGTTGCTGGGCAAAAGGCGCTGGGCGGGAAAACATAAGAGCTGGCTTGAACTACATGTGCAGTAGGGGTTGGGTGGGAAACCCCAGCAGTGGCTCGTGCTGACAAGGCAGGCAGCGCTGGGCGGGAAAGCTCAGAGGCAGATCATGCTGACAGGGCAGGAAGCACTGGGCAGAAAAATCCAGAAATGACATACGCTGATTGGACAGAAGCAGCTAGGCAGGAAAACCACTGAGACAGCGTGGGCTCCATGGGCATGATGCACTGGGTGGGAAAAGGGGGAAATGCTTCCACTAATTTGACAAGAAGAATTTGGTGGGAAACATCAAAGGCATGTTGAACTGACTGCCTATGAGGACCTAGATGCGAAATAACTGTGGAGCCCTGAGCTGACTGGGAAACAGGAACAGAGTAGGTAACCTCTAAGGCTGTTAATGCTCACAGGGCAGAAAGAGCTAAGTTTTACTACAAGCTCTCCTGCCTTCTGCTACAGACTGGTGCTGAAACCTAGGAATTAGAGTAATTTCAAGGAGGGACGAGCACTTGTCCATTTAATTAGAATTGACATAGGAATCACGGTGTCCACTAAACCCACACCTATTCCGCTTGACCTCTCTCTCCTTCTCTCTCTTTCTAGCAACTCAAAGGACAAAATGAAGATGACAGAAGCACCAAAGAAACTGAAGGAAAAGAGAAGAAAAGGCCAGTCAAAAAACCACGCACACACTGCACACATGGCCGTCCCTGTGGCGTTTAAATTTGTCCACATAGCCTTAATCCCCCTTGAGGGACAAGGGAAAAGGACCTCTCTGTAAACAGGGATCAAGGTCCGCTCCTTGCCAAGAGAAACGCTTTATGGGCCCATTCCGCACCTGCGGCTGAGAGACCACCCTTTAAGAAGGGTTGAGGTCTCTGTGGATTTCAGCTCTTTCGGACTTAGTCTTTAACATGCCCTGTGCCACTGACCTCTCCCTGTAAGAAGGGTGCAGGTCTCCCCTTTCTAGCTTGTCTTGGGCCGCTGGCACTTGCTGGGCAAAGAGACCACCCTCTACTGAGGGGATGGAGG